GCTTGTGTCAATAAAAGACTTGTCGTTTATGTTGCTATAAAGATAATGATTCACAATTTTTCTAAAATTACTTTTAAAATGTTGTCAACATGTATTCATTTAAATATACAGGGCGATTAAGGATAAGACACTAATTTTTCCTTAAGAAAAATGCAATTTTGAAGTTTTTCTGTTTGGAGTGTTTGGAGACACTCTTGTTAATGTTATTTTACAATATTAGACAATATTCCAGTTTGTACCTAGGTATCTTTTTTTTTTCCATAGCTCTATCAACTTAAACGGTAACGTATATATTTAATTAACTTTTTTAATAAAAGATGATTTTCTGAAAACGTTGGCTGGTCGATTAGTTTAAAATTTGAACATTTATTTTTAAAATATCTCGGAAGAAATATTACATTTTAATAATATTCACGAGTTGTGTATTGTCTTAGAAATATAGTATTCTGATTCAACTATAATTTATAGACTTGGCAGGCTCGACTCGACTGTAGTTAGCTTAAGTTAAGATAATAAATCCTCAATCGTGATGTTTACGAGTATGATATTTAGATATTCATGGTAATATAAAATAAAATCATTCGTACGTTGTAGTGTTCTTCCATACCTATGACCTATCCTCCAGCTACTCTAATCGACTCCGCGTTACATTTGATACATAATTACATAAAAGTGAAAAATGTAAAAAAAAAAATACAGATATTAGATATCTGTACAATAGTACAGTAATATTTGTACAATCATTAATCACCAACACGATGATTAATGATAACAGTAACTATTTTGCACAATAACCAAGTTTATTATGGATTTTATGTATAGCGTCAAAAGGAAATGGGACGGTTTCGGTTATAGACTTTGTAGATTTTGTTTCTCTTTTACCAATACTACAGTGTTGTACGACGAGCTGTGGCGTTAGTGAAATATCAAAAATATGTAATAAAAACTACGCGTGCCCGTAGGGGGAGGGAGGGAATATTATAATATTATTATACGACGGACAAACAAATTATACTATCTTTACAATGTTCTAATCCACACACCGCGTACACGGCCACTTTCTATACGGCTGCGTCGGGACCCAAGTAAGTCAATTACAACGCTGCCAAGCTATTCTGACCACGTCTGCACACGTCCACTACAGGTCCGAACGTGCGTGTAACTTATGCAGTACCCAGTCGTGTAGCTACACCGGCAATCAAACGCTAAGCGGCGGTGTCTAGGCCGGCAGAATTCGCAGTTAGGTAGGATTCGATGTACCTATAAATTGTATATACATATATATATATTATACGCACAGCCGACGGACCCGAGAAACTGGTTTGGTCTAACGTTGTCTGTTCGCCTATTCTGCTGCTCCTATCGCGCGCACAATAATAATGGTACAAAATATAATAATAATAATTATAACAATAATGATGATGATAATAATAATAATAGTAATAACGGCGTACAGCCGAGAAAGGCGCGTTACGGTCAGCGACGGCGATGCTAAATAAAATCATAAAAAGTGTGCGGGCGGAAAATAAGGAATACACATCGTTTGCACATTATAAACGCGTAAAACCTATATGTGTAAGGTAATCTGTTTGTAATTTGTATTACCATACACATGGTAATACAGATTACCATATTGTGATCGATCCCGGAAAAAATATCTCCAGAACTTCGGTCGATTTAAGAAGTCCTTATAACAAGAAAAACAGTCGCTAGAATATCGAACCCCTCTACAGATGAAATCCACCAGAACATTGATCTATTATAAGAGTTTTCATAAATATACACAAATATTAACAAGTTATCTCTCGCAAGGTCATAAATATTAAAGTTCTAGTAAAAAACGTGTACATACATCATACGTCGTGTATTTCTTAAAACGTTTTATAATATATTATCATTATTTGTTTTAAAATATTTATAATAATAATAATTATCTACAAAATTTCTAATTTTTTAACTCGAGTTTAAAACTAATAATTATTCTTGAGGATATTTTTGTTGATGGATTATTATTATTCGTTGAATCGTGTTATATATACCTATGCAAATATGGGCTATAACAGAGGCTAATTTTAATTGTATCTGATACATTTCTCCGATATGGAGAATTGCACTGCGACGTTTAAAGTTTGTATGTTTAAAATAATTATAATTTAATGTATGTTAATTATATTTTTACCTCTCTCAAATATTGTCACAATTTTAACATTGCAACTGAACAAGAAAAAAAAGAACGTTTAGATTTTCTGACGAGACGTTATATTACTATTATAAAATATTATCATACTCGTGCATCGACCATTTAGTTGGGTAAACATTTTGTTTCTCAAGATAATTGCAAACGTAAAATTATACTACCGTGTTATCAGTCGTAATTAAATCACACACCATAAGCCTGTTTTAAGGTTTTATCATTTTTTTAAAAGCCATGTAGATTTTTAGTTTGTACTAACAATACGGAATCCGTTGTCCATACCAAGACACCGTTTTAATAATGTAATTCCGGGTACACATACTACACCTGCGTTAGTGTTGGAAAACAATAACATTTCCTCCCGGTGCGTTTGTCACACTCGAGTCGAAAGCTAACAGAAAAAGTTGATCGTAATATTTATTTGACCAAAGTGGAATCGGACGTCTCTACCCACAACATTTTTAAAGATGCGCTACTGCTATACATTACCCTCGTCTGATAATACCGGTTTGTCAGGTTCAATGACCAGGTCACGCGGCATCCGCGGTGGTGGTAATGGGGTCATTTTTCACCGAAGAAAAACATTAACATTTTGTACAAAAAATGTTTTTAATTATCATCAACACCATTTTTCCAAAAAAACAATACCACTTTTTGTATCTAAAATACACTTTTATATATATGTCCACACTTTTTATCTGGTGCGGTGTAAGGATCTTCTGTCGTATACACTACACAACTAATTGTTTTCCGTAACGTTGACTGCAGACCCGTATAGTCAGTTGTGTCTTTATCAAATACAACAAATACCATGATATACATACATACAATAAGGAAAAAAGAAAAAGAAAATACAACAGTTTTTTTTTTTGTCAAAATATCTTTTTTATTTTTTATTTTCATTTTATAATTATTTTTTTGTCCGTAGTCTACTACATAACAAAAGTAAAAAAAAAAATGACAATTGCTATGAAGTGATATGACTGGCCGGGAAGGGGGGGTTGTGGTGAGGTCGTGTCACAATTAATAGGGAAGGGAATTTTAGACATTAACAAAAAATATATATAAATATATAAACAAAAAATAAAAATCTCCGACGCTATAATAACGAGTTATTCTCGAAACAGCGCTGCACTTCATTACTTTCTTTTAACACAATTCAAAGGTAAACTTAACTTAAAAAAAAATACTGTTAAGATTACACTTTACATAGTGCCACTGAGATCAGAAACATAATATATAGTCAAAAAAAAAAAAATCTATACTAATAATAATATATTATAAAATTGTTTTTCTTAAATAGAATTAAATTGTTAATTTTGGGAGGAAAAGACAATCTGTTATTAAATAAAAAAATTCACACGCGCTCTTAAAAAGCCTACAAAAATTTGAAAGTTAACATTAAGGAAAAAGTAAACATCCGTTATCACAATACATAGGTACATCACTAGCCTAATAAATAAAAACTTATTTTTAAAAACAAAAATTTAATGCCGATTATTAACATTTTTGACTGGTTTTTTTTCAAATTTTATTATTAATTTTTTCCTTGTGTTATTACTTGAGAACAATTATTATGAATCGCCATACTTTTAATATGTATACAACTCGTACAGGCATTACAAAATATCATAAATATCTGTATTATAATGCATATAATATACATACATTTGTTTATATATACCTGCATTTATATCTTACATTGAATTGTGAAGAACACAAATACAATACTTAAGCTCTCTAAAGAAAAATAATAATAGTTTAAATATTTTATCATTAAAATATGAGCGTACATATTATTACCATTTTTAAATATACATTAAATTTTCTTTTGTGATGTCAGATAGGAACACTTAATCTAAAGTTAACTGTGTCTATTTCACGAAATAATGTTTTTTTTTAATATTAATTATTTTTTATGTATATTTATAGGTAAATATATTTTAACGTGAAAGACATCTTGGCAAAAATTTGAAAACACCTATTTTTTAATTTTCATAATTTAATCCTATATAAATAATTTGTATATATATATTTTTTTTTTGGTGCGATATATATGTATAGCTTAAATAAGTTAATTTGGTTAAAAACTATATTGTTAATTCTAATTATATGCTTTGTCTGGACACACGCAGCATTTAACACTCAAATATATTAAATATGAAATATAATATAATTTTTTTTTTGATTTTTTTCCTAAATAAATTATTATGATCCTAGTTAGATCAAAATGAATTTACACTGTCTCTATGTATAGTTCACTTAAAAAATATGTACGTTTAATTGAAAAAAACGAAAGTGATCTACGAGACGATTTTTTTACGGAAACTACAAATTCTTAATATATCTACGTACTTAATAAACCTAATATATATAATAAATATGCATGTATATATCTATATCTATATAAAGCCGATAAAGACCAACAAATTATGGATAAAAAAAAGGAAAAAATTAATAATAATTATAATCTGGCGAATATATATATATATATATATATTCATGTATAAATTTTTAGACAAAAATAATAACGAGAACAAAAATTAAACGTAACACAAAATCCGATCACATAATTTTAAAACTTTCGTGCATGTATACATATATATACACATATTTTAATTTGTATATATATATATTATACATATAGATATAAATAAATATAGGTTTTTTATTTTCATATTAACTTTTTAACGTAATACATGTATATATAAATAATATATACACTCTCAATACATTATTCACTTCCACTCCGACAAGACAACACCAAGGAAGAACGTAGGTGGCATTTACGCGATTTCTTTTATTATTATTTTTTTTTTTTTTTTTAATAACAATACGATCATTACTTGACGGTAGCAGTAGCAGTGACCGGCGTACGCCGCTCGACGCGTGTGTACTTTGTTATTTCGTCAAAAAAACGCACAGGCTGTTCCGTGGGGATCAGTCTTGGCTCTCTCTCACTCACATCAGTGATGGCGGTGTTGTTGGTGGTAGAAATGGTAGTGATGGTGTTTTGATGAGATACTGATAATGAGAAGGAGGTGGAGATGGCGTACGGCGGCGCCGGACAACCGGCGCTTCTCACTCTAAAAAAGACCTGTACAGCTTCCGTTTTTCTATGGTGAATTCGTGGTCGATCACTATGGTGCCTCCTTTTGTAAGATTCCTGTTTACACACAGCAAAACGATGGGGGTCAGAAACGGAAACAATTTTCGAAACGGGAAATAAAACGATAGTCGACCACGACAGTTGGAAGCGATTTCGTAAACAGTAAAATCAATTCTTACCTAATGAATAGTGGAATGAGCGACCATGTATTTCGAGGGTCTTGTTTGAGTGTGAGGAACAGCTCGAACGTCGACACAGTGTTTGTGTCGCATTTGATTGTACCGATTTTCCGACACTCTTGGTCGCCTTCGAAATTCAGGTACAAGGTACATCCTCTGTGAGGAAAAAATAAGTATTATTAAACTGGCCGGAAAAATTTGGTCTGAACGGGAAAATCGTTTAAATAGCTTTTTGATCCACCAAAAAATGAATTAACTCGACAATTTTTTATTTTTTTTTTTGGAAGGGAAAACAAAATTGAAGCTAAAATAAACTCACCGGAGACCGCAGGGTTCACTTTCTGCCATTTTAAGAACGTCTCTGGCTATCCTCCGGAGAAGGTCTGGTGGTAGCAACACTTCTCCGCACGATAATTGCGCTCGTTTGGCCGCCCGAAGCTCTTCTTCTAGTCTCTGGTGTAGCGCCATAAACGCGCTAGTTTCCGACTCTATGTCCTCCAGCTTCAAAATTCCTGTACACACAATACACACGAATCTTTAGCATGATGCGTTAAAAAAAATAATAATAATTGTATACAAAAAAATAATTATTTTCTTTTAAATTATAAAAACAAAAAAAAAGCAAGTACCGAGCGTGGAATGAACGGGATACGACGGTTGTATATAATACGGAGGTACGACTTCCATTTTTTTCGCAATTTTTTTTGTGCGTTTCGTTTTTAAAAATAAATTGAATACCGGCAAGTTTCAATTGTCGAAGGGAAAAATGAACACGGTGATTACGATTTCAATTTATTATACTCGCACACTGTATTCCGTATGAGCCGCCTGTGTCGTACAGCTAAGGACTAAACCGAATCTGAACGCAGCGGTAGAACGGATAACGACTATCGCCTGGTAGGTACGCGTACAAACTAAATTCTGAAACTGACTGTACTACCGATTGCCGAGCATAGCCGGCCGGCACGATCAGCTGTTCGAACAAAGAGACCCCGCGGCCCGCTCTACGCTCCGCCCGTACCGCACTCTACCGACACCGTACACCACTACACCGTTGACTGCCACCACCAAACTGTGCCGGCGTGACGGCAAGTGGGGGACGATCACTCCACCGCCGCCCGGACCCGTTCCCGTGTATTTTGGCCCGAAGGCCCTAAATAATACTCGCACACACGCGCACTCACTGGCCGTTCTATCTCTGCCTCGCCGCCCTCCTCGCCCGACCACTGCCGTTCCACCTCACCGCCACTCCACCCGGCTCACACCGCCGCCGTACCTTTATAACCACGGGCGGACCGTCGTTGTGTCGTCGACGTCGTGTTCCAAACTTCCCTTTGTTTGAAAACACCGACGCGCACGCACAAATAAACACGTACGCAATCGGCGGTCGTGGGCGTATTTCGTGGCACGGCCGGACCGAGGAAGCAGAAGCAGAATAAGAATAAGAAGAAGAGGCGACGGCGGCGAAGAGGGGTTTATACTACGGGCCTTTGTCTGCGGCCTCAGGACATCCGGATAACGCTAGCTAGCCGCACAAAACCGTCGGATACGCACTACCTATAACAACACAACAAGAAACATCTCGATGCTCGAGTACCTGTATAATACAACTAGAATATTTTTTTATTTTTTATCTAATAATTTCGACCTATGGGTTTTTTTTCTCTTCCGTACAAACTAAATTGCACGTATACCAGCCGCGTAACACCGAAGACAACAACAATAATAATATTATCATATTATTGCTATACAACATAGTTGACGTACGAACCGAAATAGTAGGCGTTTGACGCTTGCCAAGAGAGAGAACCACGACCGAATATTAGCTGTTGTAGTAACCGGCGGCTGTAAGAGAAAAACGGTAGACGAGCACACTTTTCGACCTTGAACGCAGCTCGCGTAGCGGTAAATTAAAAAAAAACTAATAATTACCAATCCAATGACGAGTACGCTCAGCCAGTTGGCAACAAGGAATACTCCCAACTAAAAAAATAAATAAGACACCTCGACGCGCGGAAGCTGTGCGTGGGAAAGTGCACGCAATCGAGAGAACAATGAAAAGGTCAAGTAGATAAAAAAATAAAACGAATTTATACCAATTCATACTAATTTTTCTCATTTAGAGAGTAATATCACGCTTGATCATTTTTGACACAAACAAAAAAAAGTTCGGAAACTTTTGTATCTTATAAAGAAGTTCGAAATAAATGTCGGTTTCATGCTTGATATCGGTTTATTACTATATACGTTTTCATAAAGGTACCTCTAATTTAGTATTTATATAATCAGCCATATAGATGTTTCCAAACAAAAACCGGGTACGCGAATAACTCAGATAGCTATAATAATATGTCCTTCAAAAGAATGATGTTTCGGTCAGGGACCTTTTGTGCACGTGTTGGCCCTTGGCAATCTGTACCGTTTAACCTAATGCGTACCTACTACGATGAAAAGGCTACCCATATAAAACATGGCGGCAGACCATCGGACCACAGAGACCTATTTTGTAGATTCACATTAAATCCGAACGATATACAAATATATTTTACACGGTTTTAATCTGTATATTCGGTCATAAGTGGAATATCTGCTGAGTAATGACTAACGATTTCTATTTTCAAGATTCGCAAAATATAATATTGCCGTTTGATACGAGTTAAAATCAGATACCGAGGCTTCGGGGCTTTTACAAATTACATATTATATTAGTGTTATTAACGCTCGAATAGACGATACTTGTGTTTATGTTCCTATAAAAAGCAAAAGTTGCGCAGTAATAATTTATCCCTGTTCCGCGGCACGGCTGCTGATGAAAATGTCCTTGACGGAACCCCGATTTTAATGAAGATGAAATCGTCGGTTCCATTTGGCAGAGATGTAAGAGAATGAGGCGAGGGGAGGGGTCCTTTTGTCAATGTTGTACGCTATATACAATCCTGCTGTTCCCGCTCCCCGCTCCAGGGAATACGACACCCGCTGCGTTGGCGAGGGAGATGCGAAACCAAACTGTGTAATCGTCTAAACCAGCAAAATGCTATCAGAGAGAGTCCTGTTAATACGTTCAACCCTTTATCTTCTTCTCGGTTTCAGGTAGAGAGATATTTTTAAATACTTTACGCTCCGGTAAAACTTAATAATTCATTGCTGTATGTAATTCATAAGGATTTACTCGAGTGACGTCACAAAGAACAATCTAATTCAACTATCATAGGATAATAGCCCTTTTCGTATAATATTATTAATATTAAAATCTATTTTAAACGCGTTCAAAAAACTTGTATACACGCAATTGATCGCTCTGTACACAAGCATAATTTTTTTATAACAAAAACAACTTAAAACTCAGTGTTTTCATTGTGCTAGCATTGGTTGTATTGATTTTCGATGAATAAAAAAAAATTATGTTATATTTTGCAATACTAATCAACAGATCAGCAATTTTGTAAAGATAACGTATCTTTTAAAAAGCAAGCCGCATCAGTTATATTTTCATTGTGAACGGTTTTTTAAAAGTAGTTTCAATACAGTATTAGTCGGTTTAAAGGTTTGAACAGCAACTTTAATTTTTATTGATTCTAATAAAATCAAACGCCATCGATACTATGATACTAATGTGTTATAATTATTTTTATTAATCAGACATATTATGTAAATGTAATAATGTCAGTCAAAAGAAAATATACCGGGTGATTCTTTTAACGCCCTACACTAGTTTGCTCTTATAATAATTTCAATTTTGTATTGTTTCTTTTTTGAAAAACATTTTTATTTATGTTATAGTATAATATTAGACAATACTCAAATGTTTATCTTTTTTAGTATTTGCTATTTTTAAAGTTATTTAAGTGTACAATTTAGGAGGGGTGGTGGAGTGCGGTTGAGAAATGCACACAGATAAAAATAACTCTACTCTCCACCCTTCCTCCCGTCTTAAATTTTAAACTTTACAAATATATTGTACAATTTAAATTTAAAAAATACAAAATAATTATTGTTTTTCAATTATAAACACTAAAACATTCATTCGCTAGGTCACATTGTATTGTTTAAGTATAAGAGTAGCGTAGAATAAACTAGAGGTGCCTTTGGGACAACTAAAGGGACGAAGAGCTTATAAATGAGCTTTGAAAAGGTAAGAAATCTGAGGGGCGAGTAACCGAGATTTCGGAAATCAGCGGGTCAACATAAATTACTCCTTGTCGGTCGAAAGCGGTTAGGCAATGCAAAGCGCACGGGCGGCCAAATGTTATCTGCGAACGCCGCACGGTCAACAATAAAGTGACCGTTTTGCCAAATAGTTTTTCGACTAGACCCCCGGAGTTTCTAATGGGTTAGTTCGTGGGGTGAGAAAGTGTTTTGTGCTCAATGGGCGACGGCGAAAAACAAACTCTTTTTGGCTAAGAGTCAGTCGCGAATTTGGCTTTGAGCGAGTATATTATAGTAGTGCAGTTATTATTTTCATTAAAGCGCGCACACACACACGACGCTATAGGCAAGTACAAGTAATGACGCCCCGTGAAGTAACAAAACAACAGCGAGTACAGTGTGTGCTGTTGGATGGGGTGGGGGGTATATAAGCGACTATGGTGAAGCAGCGGTGATCGATAGATCTAGCGACACCGTTGTACCCGATTACGTGAATAGATTTCCTTTGTGAGGGATTCCCCTAAAAAAACTATATAAATTCATTAAAAAAAAAAGGGGTCGATGTGCATCGTTTTTCCTGACCATTGCGCATTCGGGCGACGGCGATGGTAGTCGTACATCCCACAGGGATTTTGTCATAGCCAAAACGATTTTCTCGGGCACCTTAAAAACATAATAATAAGTACCTCTGGAAAGCCGGTTTTGACGGTACACAAACACAATGAACACCGACAATCACGAGATATTATGGTTGGTTATATGTACAATGTTATATAGTGAGGGACCCACAGAGATTTTATGGACGGGTTTTACGGACAAGTAAAAAAACACAACACAAAGAGCCGTGGGTGTTAACCGGTTAACTCATAACCACTCGCGCTCAATACAGAAGCTACGGTTATGACGGGTTGCTCTTACTTTTTTTTCTCTTTTAATACTTTTATGTGTTTGTTTGTGCGTTAGAAATTAGAGTCGACCGGTTTACACGAGTATATAATATGTTATTGTACTTAAACATGTATATGCATTTTTGGGGTACGACCCGCTACAATGTTGCACGAATAACATTGGGGATAATAGCAGGCGGTAACTTAATGCGTGGAATAGTTTAATATAATAACAACAATGTAACACAGTCAAAATGCAGTATTATGTAAGCTTATACATTTATTACAAGTATTGTAACAAATAATACAAGCATAAAAATCATTTAAACAACGTCAAAAACGCCTCCATCGAAAAAAATAGCCAAGACCAAACTTAGTTTCAGGTAAGAGGTTGGGTTTCCAGAAGTTCTATAGAGAACCAGATATTAACATTGCTCAGTTGATATTTGTAATAGTTTAGTTGTATTTTTATTTGATTAAGTATTTAATGTATGTTATTGCAATTATGCTGAAATAAATAAATACAAAATATATACGTGTGACCAAAGTTAAATTTAACCCCTGATTTTTGGTGATAATATACTAAAATTGTGTAAAAGTAACCTATGTGAAACAATTTTAACATTAAAAGTTTTTGTGATTCTTTTAAGTCAGAAGCTAGATTTAGGAGGGGTGACTTTTGAAACTTAAATGCTAATGTATACATTTATTTCGTATTTTAAATGTAGTATAACTTTTTGAAAATTTTGACTGCTCATTTGTCTCATTTTGCGCTCAGTTTATCACATTAAAGGTTAGGTTAGGTTTAAACAATCAATACAACGCACGTTTTGTTGTACCGTTGATTTATTAGATAAATATATAGATGTTGTCTATTATATCTAACAACTTTTATTGTAACTTTCG